ATCATTCTCCGACTTTTTAAAAAAGACAGTTTTCAAGATTGATTTTAGTGAAGAAATTGAGTGCCCTGGATTTGCCAGTCTTTGGCACTAAATCCCAACAAAAGCAAAAGGGTCCAATCTCATTAGGGAAATCTGCATAGTAACCTGCAGACAGTGTCTAGGCATGTTCGTGTTAGCTCTTTAGACCTTTCTAGACCTTTCTTGGTACTCAGGGAGCTGCAGCAAATCCTTACTGCAGCTTCAGGTGGGTAACTGCCTCAAGCAAAGGCCATGGGGGGTGGGGAGGGGGTTGTCATCTACAAGTAAATGGGCATAGAAGAATTAAAGAGCAATACCCTGGACAGCTAGGAAGATGCTTGGCAGTAACTGGCATAGAAGAGGTAGTTTCATATTGTAGAGAGATTTTTTTTAAAGCTTAGTCAACCCCAAATCTATAGCGTTTTATTTCTGCCATAAAGACAGTTTACATTTACAGTCCGCCACCACAGTTAATAGAGACAGAAGTAGTTGTAACTACAGCATCGTTAATGAGGACACAGTACATAAAATGTAAACTTTGCTGATTCTCTAATTGGTGTAAAAGCCTAAACACAAGAAGGTGGTCTTTATAACCTAGCATAATTCAACACGAATAATCAGCATAAATAAACTCTTAGATTTAACAAGATCTAGATTTTCATCTTAAGAAAATTTTCTTGAACTATATTATTGTTTTTTTTTTTAATTGCATTTTAGGTTTTGGGGTACATGTGATGAACATGCAAGATTGTTGCATAGGTACACACATGGCAGTGTGCTTTGCTGCCTTCCGTCCCCTCACCTGTATGGAAACTCATAAAGCTCCAACTCCCTGGGACAGAGACAGACAACAGGTGGATAAACCCACAAAAATGGGAAGAAACCAGCGCAAAAAGGATGAAAACTCCCGAAACCAGAACACCTCTCCTCCTAAAAGGGATCACAACTCCTCACCAGCAAGGGAACCAGACCGGATGGAGAAGGAGGGTGATGAAATGACTGAACTATATTATTAAAGATTTCCTACAATCTGTGGAGCTGCACTACCCAATACGGTAGTTGTTAGCCACATGTGGCTATTGAGCCCTGGATTAAGACTAGTCCAAATGGAGATGTGCTATACATGTAAAAGACACACTGGATTTTGAAGACTGTAAAAGATTTAAAAATATCTAGTTAATAATTTTGTATGTTGTATAGACATTAAAATGGTAATTTTTGATGTATTGGGTTAAAGTGCATTATTATAATTAATTTTACCTGTACCTCTGTACTTTTTTCATGTGGCTACCAGAAAATTTAATATTACATATGTAGCTCACATTTGTGGTTCACTTCATGTTTTTATTGGTCAGTGCTGCTCCAGAGGCTAAGGGACTATAGCTAATAGGGTAACTGCATTGGGGTTCCATTTGTCTGTGATCTATTACATTACACACATTTTCCCTCCTAAGGTGTCATAGTTAGTTCACTCCATGGTGTAAATACTTCTAAATGCATATTTTTGTTTTCTCACACCTGTCTACAGTTAAACAGTCTATGTCTTTTCCTGAGAACTCCTTTTCCCACTTTACCTACTTGGCTAATTCTTTTAACCTTTTAATAGCCAGTGGAAAGATTATTTTCTCTGCTAAATGTTCTCTGAACTCTATTATATCACAGCCAGGATCCCAAGAGAAAGACATATTCTGTCCTCTGGAATATGACAGTATGTTGGCCAATAACTACTGAATGTCTACATGTTTGCTGGGCATGGGATAGGTAGCTGGAAGTCCCCAAATGTGAATGAGAGGGATGTGGACCCTGTGCCTGTACTGCTTGCATTCTGCAGTGGGATACAAATAAGCAAATACCCACTCAAAAAATGGTTTCAAAACATGCTATACAGGAGAGATTTAGAGAACACACCAAAGGCATACCCCTCCAAGACTACATCTTGGTGGCAGATAGGCATACTGAGACTGAACTATAAGCATGTGATCCCACAGGAACCCTGTACGTAAAACAATAATTAGGTGTTTGAGTAATAAACCGAACAGCATGGTTTTCACATTGCAAATGGTTCAAATGAGAATTGACTTCGAAGTACAAATTACCAAATAGGCATTCTTATATTACATATATGCCCTAGTATCCTTGCAATGACTCTGTTAGCTGGGACATTTAGGTATTGATTTATTTTAAAAAAACAAAGAATGACAACAAAACAAAATAGTTTCCACATAATTAGCATGATAAAGTGAAAATGAATTCCACAAGAGGTGTGCAATTTACTTAACACCCATGCACTATCAAAAGAGTTCAGAATTTCAATGACTGGGTTTTTGTGGGGTTGAGAAAACATAATAATAAGTGAGCAGCTTTGGGAAGTCATCTAACAACATACGGCAGTGGACTTTTTAACACCAGTGTTGGAGGGCTGGAAAATTCTCGGCTTGTTGGGTAACCGCTGTGGTTCAAAACCTGGTTAAGAAGTAGGAAGAATGCATTTAACAGCTACACTTGAGTAGTCCAGATATCTTTCCTAAAGTCTATGCACTAAGGTGTGTTGCACCTTACTCCTTGGTGAGCCCATCAGTCCCTCACCCAGAACCTATTAAGTTTACTTTAGACAGAATTGTGACAAGTGAGGCTATCTGGATTCCCAGTCTGCACTAGAATGGAAGTTACCAATCAGAAGATGAGAAGAATGTTAGTGGCAGCTATGCGGGTAACAGCAAGGACAACAGATTGTCAGTTAGTGAAGGGGGAGAGAGAGAAATTACAAAAGGCAGAGATAATCACTAAGTCATAGCATCCTAGAGTCCTTCAGTGTAGCGACTGATAGCTTTTGTACCTCCTGGGAGCATCCCTAACACCTAGGAAGAATATAGAATAGGAACTTGATGTATTTCCTGAATCCACTACACCCTACTACATAATCACTTTTAATAAAATTGACATTGAGTTGTCAAGAAAATGCTAAATGATGTTCAATAAACTGCTTAAGAGAAACATTTGCAATACAGTATAGAAAAAAATCTTTGTATAATGGTTAAAAACAATTTTCATTAAAAAAGTCTGACCCCCACTAAGGGGCCAGGCTCCAATTATGCTGGTCATCATTGAACTGGAACGGTTTGCTTTGTATCAATTCTGAATAAATGATGCACTAAAGAACAGCAGCCTTTACTAATTTGCCTAAAGCAGATTTTGAACTGTGGTATATGCAAATAATACGCTATTATATGAGGTTTAACTATATAAAATGGCAACAGATTGCATAGTTGAATCACTGGGGTGATGTAAAACAATTGTTTTAATATGCGCCATTTCCGCTAAGCAAAACATCGGGACCATGTGCCCAGCACTGTGCTAGATGCTGAATTTATTAAGCATTAATTTGAAAAATTGCTTTCAGTTTCAAGTCTGTGACAGTATTTTAAAACTCTTATTCATATTTTTAAAGGCTAAGTGAAATTTGAAATACACACTACAGCCATTACATAACAGACATAGAATACAGTTTTATGACTTGGATAGTTTTTGCTTTTTAAGCGCATTAGCAACTCCATTTCCAAATGCTATCAAATTCTTCAGGATATGAAAGCCTACATATAAGAATGGAGTGCCTCATCGGCTCATTTGCCTTATGTAATAAGTGTTTTAACACAGGCATGCCATTTCAGAATTTCGGGTGAGACTAAGCTGTACTTTTAGCTTTTTTGTGTCAAGCAAAAACAATTTCAGCAACAACACTCCTTTCCCTTGGTAAATTTTTTCATGCTTATTACTAAATGCTGGATGCTCAAGTCAAATAGAAACCTAACATCTGGGGAGGTGTTGAGGGGTTGTTAATAGTTCTAGTGAGATGCTTGGTTGGGGAGCGCTGAGGATACAATTTTTAAAACAGCAAATACACGGAGAAGGGGAAATTATGGTTTCGTTTGACTCTCTCCTCCCTCCACTTTCTCGTTTCACCAATCTGTAGCCCCCCCAATTTAGAGGCGGGTTCAGCGAGATTAGGCTGCAGGAAACCGAGAGGCTCCACCGCGCTCCCGCCCCGGCCTCGTGATGTAATTGTCATTTCTTATTCGGAGACTGAACCGCGGCGAGCTGCCGAAGTAGCAGCCCTGCTCCTTTTGCCTTGTCTCCTTGGGTCAGATCCTGCCCGGGGATGATGCAGTTTGGTTGACAGACTCCGCCGGAGACTTCGCAGTGACAAAGCAGCCGAGGATTAACCCTGCTCCTGGGTCCTACGTCTGTCCAGGGAGCTGAGCTGGGCGCTCCTCAGGTCTCCTTCCTAGTTTTCCTCCCGGAGTCGCGCCACATGAGTGCTGCTGGGTGCCTACTACGTGCTGGGCGTGGGGTCAAAGTGACCCAGAGTTCGCGCCCTTGCCCCCCGAGATTAAAGCAGGACACACAGATGACAAGGAGGTGGAAATCGGGGGTGGGTGGGTGAGAGGGAGCCCAGGGAGCGCGTGTCGTGGGGTGAAGGGGAGGAGGTAGACGCTTAAGGCGCCAGCACCCAGGCGGGGACCCCGGGGCGTCCCGGCCCCAGGGCTGTGCCCACGCGGGAGCGATCGGCCTGGGTTCCGAGAGCGCTTCCCAGGGTGCCCGGGAGGAGCTGTCCAGGCGCCGGCGGCGGTCGGGGGCGGCTGGACAGAGCAGGGAGCCCGGGGGGCGGCCCCTCTCCCGGGGACGCGGTCCTGTCGCCGCCTCGGGGCCCCGCAGCCCCGTCTGGGCCACACGGAGAGCAGGCGAGGAGGAAAACCACGAACCGGCGGGGGGGCTCCCCGACTCCCGCGAGCGGCCCGGGTCCGCGCGGCTTCCTCCCGACCGGGTGACAATGGGAGGGAGGGGGAGAAAAGGGTTAAGAAACTTGGCTGAAGAGCTGAATGGCGTGGGGCGGCGAGGGGAGGGACTGGGCCGCGGCGGACTCGGCGGCGGAGGGAGGAGCGCGGCTGCGGGCGGGCGGCGAGCGAGGCGCTCAAAGTCAGCCTCGCAGACATTGCAGCAGAGCCCCGAACTCGGGAGGCGGCGGCGGAGGAGGCGGAGGAGGCGCGGCGCGGCGCAGGGACGACCCGGCCCCACGCCCGCCCGCCACTCGCGCGCGCCCGTCCGCCCGTGGCCTCGCGTCCGCCGCTGCGCCGGGAGCGCCGCCGGTCGGAGGGAAGAGCTCGCCGGGGCGCCGGGCCGGGACGGGGCGGCGGGCGCCCTCGCGGACCGAGCCTGACGGAGCCGGAGGCTGGGAGCAGCGGCGGCCTCGGGTGAGTGGCGGCCGCGGCCGGAGCGCTCGGAGGCGCGGGCTCTGGCGCCGCCGGAAACGGCCGGGAGCGCGGCCCGCGGAGGCGCTGGCTGGGCGGGCAGGGCCGCGGGGGGCGTCGGGGCGGCGGGGAGGGCGCGTTTCCGGGGAGATCCTGCCTCCGCGCCCCGGGATCTCGCGGGGGGCCGGGCGGCGGGGCCGGCAAGTTGCGGAGTGGCCCCGGGGCTGCCCGCCCGTCCGTGCCGGGGCCGGGCGAGGGGGCGGCCGCCGCGTGGCCCCCGCGCGGGAGCTCGCGGGCCGGATCGGGGTTGCGCCCGGCTCGCCTGCCCTCTCGGCCCCGAGCCCCGGGCGCCGCTCGCCGCGCCGCTCTCGCTCCTGCTGTCCGGCCGGATCCGGGGCGGCGCCTTTCGCCGGGCGTTCGCGGGATACCGGGCTCGGAAAGTGAATGGGAACCCGGGCCGCTCGCCCGGCCCCCGCCCGACCCCCCGGCCCGCTCTGCCCGCGCTCGCCGTCCGCTCCTGAGGGCGAGGCTCGGACCCGAGGCCTCGGCCATGGTTCTACCCGGAGCCGGCGCCGGCTCCCATGTAGACTGAGCCCCGTGGAAGTCCGGGGAGGCTGCCTTTTCTCCCTTCTTGTGTGTCCACGTTACTACTACTGAATATTGTTTTACGAAGGTTCCCGTGGACGTCTTCTGCACGCCCTCCCAGCCCTTGCAGAGTAGTTTCCCAGTTTTAATCAGGAGTTGGTGTTCAGTCTGAAGGAACAAAGGAATCAACTGTGTCTTAGAGGCGGACAGGCTGGAGTCTGTGACACATGTTGATCTCTGAAGCCTTCCAGGAGTTGCTACCGTTTATCACGTCAGTAATTGGGTTCTGAAAGTAGTTAAAAGAAGAACGGAATGAGAAGCACTTTCGCATTTTAAAAATATTCTTTAATGGCACATTGTACTTTGGGGAAAAAAGAAGACGTTTTTAGGTACAAGGATTTTTAAAAACTCAGTTGGTGGAAGTGAGTTAGAGTTTGTCTCTGGTTTTGTAAATTACTGCATGTGGGATTGTGAAGGAAATTGTGTCCTTAGAGGCAGAGAAGCCATCTGTAGGTGTCCACAGTAAAAACGGTTGTCGGGTTATATATGATGAATGCTCTTTCTATTTCTTGGGGGAATTTGTGAAGCAAGGGGCTTCGGTAATTCATTCTTTAAAGTTATGAATTTCATTGAACCTGCTTATTAGTGAATCATAGGTTTAGTAAGTGGGTGGCATTATTCATCAGTTTTCCACCTTTGTTGAAGAGATAGTGAAATAATAGACTTTTTAAACAAATGGTGCTTCATCTGCCTGGCCCCTAAGTATCGGTTGCCGCCTGGAGTATGTTGAAATGTTTTTTAACTTCCAAGTAAGTGAGTTGCTCTGGTTTTGCCCAACAGTTCGGTACCGTCGATAGGGTTTATCTGGTTCAGGGAGCAGTAGCTTTATCAACTATAGTAACTTTACTTTGCCTGGGTATAGTTACTAGAGACAAAGAAGGAGAATCAGTTAGTGGAGCAGATACTGCCCTGCAGGTTATAGGACTGGTTGCTCTAGTCTGTTTCATTCTCTGGTGGAAAAGACCTCTTTCCAAACTTACCCTTAAAAGTGCCCTAGGAGTGTGAGTAAAATATACATAAAAACATAAGAAAAAAAAAAAGACTGTTTGTTGTTGATTTTATTCATATGAATTAGTTGAAAATCAGATTTAATGCCTGTTTTGCATGGTTTCCAAACTCTGCAGAAAATTTTGTGAATTTTAACACCCTAAAATATTGTTAACTCTGCAGTAATTTGTGAGGAGACCAAAGGCTTTTCTCACTCTTGCAGTTATAAGTGCAAAACATCATGATAAAAAATAACCTATACCACCACCTAGAGTCTGTTTGTTAGTTTATTGCTCATGAAGTTTGCTTAAATTGAGGGGTCTGTTACAGTTCTGATATAGTCGAAAATGATTAAGAAGTGCTGGCTTTCAAAAGGCCATCCAAGAGAACAATTATTTAAGTAATAAACAGCAAGTGCCAGTTTAAATTATTCGTGCCACCGTTAGGATTGAAAATTATGACATATCAAGTTGAGTGGGCTATTCTCCAAGATATTAATTCAAAAGATTTTAAAACGGAGTTCTCAGCTTGTGTGCCAAGGCGTTCTGATTCCTTAACAACTTCTGCGATGTCATCAGAGATTCAAGAAATCTTCCAAATCAGATGCCATTAGAACTTTTTAAAGTCCTAATGAAACACAAGCAAAAATAGAGGAAAGCATTACAACTACACAAATTCTGGAATTTCAGAAGTTAAGAGAACGCAGCCTATGGCAGAGTTGTGGTTCAGAGATGTGACAAGTAAAATCAATGTGAATTAAAGTGGTAATCTGTTTTGCTGGTAGTCCGTATGTGGTAAAGCAGTCTATTAAATGAGACACCTTAGGGAGGCAGCTTTGTTGCCATGTGGCTTATCACATTGTCCATGGAGGAAGTAATGTTCCTCCTCTAAGTGGTGTAGCCTGAGAGAAAGATGGCCTCCAAGATCTTTAATTAAATACCAGTTGAACAGAAAGAACTAGAGCACTGTATTAATTCTGTCAAACATCACTATTTTAGAACATTGAGGACAACTAAAAATGAATTAACTCATATCTGAAAGCAGAGTTTGATAGAAGGTGACGGATGAGGCAAAATATGCCAATCTAATGGAACAAATAAGATAAGGAGATATGCCATCCTTGACTCTAGAAAGATCAGAGGGAAGAAGATTATTGTTAATTTCACAGATTCTATTGCAGACCAGTGCTAGAAGACAATGCTATAGAAGTAATTTTAAATCAGAGTGGCTTAGGATATATGAGGTTAAAGGAATTCGGCTTTTAATTTTAAAATGTTAAAGAATGTAAGTAACTTAAAATCTCACGTTCTAAGTGTTGTTTGGGAAAAGCAATAATAGTTTGTTGTATCAGGTTAAAAAATAGTTTTGCTCAGAAAAAGTTTAAAATACCTAATTTTTGTCAAGGAAAACATTATTCACTTTAAATTGTGATGGAGGCAGTTTTGCTTTTCACATTTGAGATTGCTTGATACAGTTAGTTTTTAATGTAGGTTAGTAAGAGAAGAGGAGTTCCAGTCTCTCCCCCACCCTTTCTTTCCCTCCCTCCCTTCCATTCTTCCCCTTTTCTAAAATAAACAGCGTCTACATCTTTGGATATTTTCTTCCATGAAAAGTGCATTAGTTGCAGCTTTCCTTCTGGGCTGTGGTTGGGGTGAAGTTTCTTCACTCTTGCACTTTTTCCTTCGGCCCCTTCAAGTGATTGATACACAATCAGAGTCGGCTTTGTTTTGTGTGTTTAATAATGATTTACATGGATGAAGAGTGGGAAGAAGCATTTGCCTTTCTAGCAAAGTCCTGTATACCTGTGTCTTCCAACTGGAGACATATTTTCACTAAAATAATCTTGATTACTATTGAAAAGTCAAAGAAAATTTTCAACAAGATAAGCTTGGGGACTTGCAGGATGTATAAGTTTGAATCTTTGAACTAAATAGTTCAAGTTGCATTTTCTTAAGTTGTAGTTTTTTTCAGGGACTTTCGGGTAGGGGGAATACTACAGCAAGCTCATCCTGTAGTATTTAGATAACACAACAATCAGAGAAATGTAACACCAGTATGGTCACTTAGACTTGAGAAGGTAAAAACGAGGAGTGTCTGATAATGAAACAGGCCATTGGAATGGAACTGAAGATTATGTTGAGAGGCTGGAATGAATAAAAAGTAAATGGAGGAGAGAGATCTAGTTTCTGTATCCTATTTGCATCTGATCCTGAAGCAGGGACATGAATTGCTGTTGGTAATGGATTCTCTATTCTCTTTTATGAGGGCAGCAATATTATATAAATAGTGGTTGTTTGAGGGAAAGGAATGACAAGTTCCCCATTTGTGTGTGTTCACACTTTGTTTTGAATGTCTTTGAGATGTGTCTAAAGTAGAGGATCAAAATTGGGTACCACTGTGGAATCAGGAGTTTCACTTTAGAGGAAAATGAATTAATATTAGATCACTTTTTCTTTAATCTTTTAAGATCTGGAATTTTTCAAAGGGCTTCATCAACAGAGAAAACAGTGTTCTGAGTGCTAAAGTTTGAGTGGTAAACTGGGTAATTCTTTTATAGGATCTCTGATAAAGATAAACAATGTAAATAAGTGCAGAAAGAATGCTTTATTCAAGCACATCACCTGTGATTCGTGGTAGGAGGAAAACTGAGACCGCAGAAACTCCTGAAGTCTTATTAGGGTTTCTTTGCAAACTAGTATATGAATGCCCATCTGTTGTTTTTTCTTGAAATTTAGTGTTCAAGTTGATGGATACTGAATGTGTAGGATTCTGAAGACTGGAGTTAATTTGGAACAGAACTTTCCTTGTTTTACTATGAGTTATGAAATGCAGTTTTAATTTGTTGCAATACAGAAACTGAGATGAGTAGGGATTTATACTAACTTTTGTCACTGTTAACGGTACATACTCTATATCATGAGCCTTGAAATTCAAATTGATCTCTACACTATTTTGTAAATATTACAAATGAAGCATTACAAAATTTGTGGTATTTTAGCTTATCAAAATGCACCTGAAACATAAAAAGTTTTCCTAAAGTTCTTAGAAGAGTAGGAGAGAGTTAAAAATAAATTTGGTATATTTTATCATTATGTTAGGATTTTGTTAAAATTAACACCTTGAATCATGCTAGGGATAAACATTTAGCCTAGAACTTTAAAATACAATGCGAAGCAGATTTAAAGAATTTACAAAGCTGGCAACTCAAAAATAGAGGAAAAAAAACTTGGGGGTTATGAAAAAAGGATCCTCTTAGTATTAAGATTTTTTAAAAAATCTATACACACTTTTAAGATAGATTGTTCTTGAAGATAATGGGGTGAATAATTACCTGCTAAACAAATTATGAGTCATATGATTCTTTTTTTGGT